GTAAACAAACCCGCAAAGTTCGGACATTCGTTCTCTGCCACATACTGTACTTGTACGAACTACACTCGCTATTTCTAGTTTGCGTTAGTTTATAAATGTTATTTCCCTTTTGCTGTTTGAGACTTGAAAAGTTTAAGGTTGAAAAATATCTGAGCAGAAGAATAACAGCGATTTTAAGGCCAGAAACATAGCAGACGTTACGGCAGGAACAACGGAGGAGTGCTTGCAGTGGAAATTCCCGTCTCAGCAGAAATGGTTTTAACATTGGAAATAAACCTCGAAAGAGATAAAACCGGTGATGTAGGCAAATTTCAAGATACATACATAATTCACATTTCAAAATTCATGATCACACGCGATCACATGCTATTAATTCACCAATCCATTTTCGCTACAAAGACCGTTTGGCCATTTGTAGTTTGACATTTTGCTTTTCAATTTGTATATTACGGCAAACAGTGACTCGACACTTTTGATGACGGTTATGTTGATGGCATTTACTTACTGAGGCCTGTAGCAAAAAAGCGCAGGCTTTTGTGAACATACACTAGGTTTGTATTTAATCGTGTAGAGACAAAAGGAGGCAGTGTACTATACTTCAGACAAGATAAGCATAAGGTTGCTTATATATTTAAGCGTATAAAAGGCGGTCGAGACGAAAATGTAAGCACACTGCCTTATAATGAATTATAAATGTGTCTGCATCATCAGTTTCATTTTCTTCAAGTTTAGATCCATCGTGCAAAACCATTCTTTCAACTGAACAGGAGAATTCTACGCGCTTGTTGAAACTCCATGTACCAGCGAATATTTTTTCTGTTTTAACACACTTGAGGCGGTTAAAGTCACTCTAGATCTTCTGCTTTGACATTTTGAACCTTAAACTATTCGATTTTCAAACAGTGAAAGGGAAGGAAAATATATAAGTTAACTTGAACTTGAAGTAGCGACTCGTACTTCGTACATGTACAGTATGCGAGAGAGAACAGATGTCCGAACTTTGTGGGTTTGTTTACCACAAAGGTCATCAAAAGTCACGTGAAACTACACGTGAAATCTGACGCTCAGAAGGTGAATTAATACAATGATTTATCTGGAGTCAATTGTCTTGTTACAAAAGGGTTTCTTGCATTCATATTTTCATTTTGTTTTTGCTCAAAGAAGGTCTTAGTTTTAACAGGTACAGTGTAATCAGGATTATGATGACCGCTTGGGGTTAGATTTGAGACATGAAAGTTACAAGCCAGCAATTTGTTTAAACTAGTTAATTTTGATATCAGTTAACTCAGAAAATAAGTAAGTTTAGTCACGTAGTGTGACTGCAGCCAGTAATAGTACATGTAATATCTAATAGCAACCTTTATGCTATAAAAGGCTAGAATATTTAGACAGAAAAGGACAATAGTATTTTTCTTGATGACCATCTACAGCTTTAGTTTCAATATTAATGGTCTCAATTATGTATAATTTCTGTTTGTTGCAGAAAAAGCTAAAGAGACCACCCTTTTCCAGTCACAACCTCTATTTCGAAGAAGGATTGTTGTAAGTTCAAAGCTTGTATAACTGTGGAGTACATGTCTTCAAAGCAAGGCAATACAGACCAAGGAGATGACAAATCTGAGAAAAGTCCTTTGCAGGAGGCCTCTAGCATGGAGGAGTCAACAACTTAGCCTGTAAAAACCTCTTTGCCTAGCTGAACAGTAAAGCAAAATTGAAACAGTCACATGTAAGCCTGTCATTACTCAATGACAATAGAAAGGAGGAATGGCTTCTCCTCAGAGCAGGAGGCACCAGATAATGCTCCTGAATTTGCTTTGTGATAAGGAAATATAAGTTAATCCAATGCTCTTAAAGAAATTCCAGATTATTTGTGACTGGTCATACTTACAGGTACATGTACATGTAGCTCTGCAAATACAGTAATCCTTTAATCACTCTCTGTTTATGACACTGTTTTTTTAGAAAAAGATAAATCTGTGTAAACAGTACAAATCCTGATGGTGTTGATTTGTCCTGAGAATTCTGGTGGCAGGTAGATCAAATTGGTTGATGTGATAAATTTTTCATTAGAATCCTTTGGCTATTGTTTGCAAGTAATGTACTAGTCAGCAGGTTAAAAGGCCAATTAATGTACAAATGTTTCTTTTAAATCTATTTGCTTAACTGCAGGCATTTGAGTTCTGCTGGCACCACTTCACAGTACATGTGTACCGGTTACAGCAATTGCAACTGACCTGCTTGAACAAAAAACAAAACAAATTTAGGTACACCCTGCTTTTTGTCATGATTTAGTATGGAATTTTGCAAAGGATTGCAACATGACTCAAGAAAAAGAGTAATGAGAGACAGCAGTGTAGTTATTTTACAGGCTAGCCAGATCAACCTTTTGTACTACATGTACATGTATACTGAATTTAAAATAATTATTAGCTTCTTTCATTGGGACCAACTACAGTGACAATGGTAATGTTCACATGCTGTGGAATACTTACAGCTGGTCATTACTTTAATGACCCTTAATTTTCTTAGAACAGGGCAAGTACTAGAAGCTCCGGCTGGTACTTCCTCTAAGAGCATATCCAATACTATACAGGAACCATTAGTAACAAAAATGAAGTTAAAGAAGTCTGGTCTGAATTTGAATAGCTACATGTACCTAAACTATTTCTTAGTTTGCTAAATGCTATAACCCAGTTGTTATACCAGCAAAAATTGGAAATTGATAGCAAGAATTAGGCCTTTCATTCTAATAGAGCCTAAAGACAAAAAATGCCACCAGAATCAAATTTTGTTTAATCTGTAAATAGCAATAAATTCAAAAATGCTAATTATTTATTAAAATGGGTGTCTTGAGGGTTCCATTTAGTTGGAACAGGATTTTGTCCTTAGATACAAAAGTTTAAGTAAGAAATAGTCTTGTCATAAGTAAATATTGGCCCAAGGGTAAAAAGATTTTTAACCTGTTTCTGAGTTGCAAAAACCTAAACAACTGAAATAGGTTTGAGGCAACTCTGAAACACCTACAGCTGTATGTAGAATATCGTACACATTTAGATGAAGAACACTTTTCTTATAATATTAATAGTTAGTAATGATCTGATAGAGCATAGAGTGGAGACAAGTAAACATCAACGAACTGTAAAATTGGGAATTAATATGAAGAGCTGTATGTACAGCTGTATACTGTAGTTTGTAAAGTCTGTAATAATGTGTAAGCCACTTTGGTTTATGGAATAAATCATTTGAACATTATAATGGGAGGTCACTGCTAGAATTTCTTTCAGTAACTTTAATGTTTGAAGCTATAAACTTCAAGATTAATTATAGCCACTTGTTAAGAACCTGAAGTGAGCCATGTTATAATTAAAAATAATTTAAAAATTTTATCGCATTTGCTACAACTCAGGCAAACTCGTTTAAACCTTGGAATTTACATTTGCTACTTGTGAAAAAATGCTCAATTTTATGGGTTTGATGACATTTGCTAACCAAATTAAAGTCAGAATTTGATTACATTTGCTACCTGAGCGAAAAAATTGTACAATAGTAACAGTTTGATCAGATTTGCTGTTTAAGCAACTTTGTTCAAAACTTGACTTTTGACCACATTTGCTGCCACAAGCAAAATTCTGTGTTTGATCAAATTTGCACACCCTAGAAAAATTTGTTCAAAGTTTAGGTTTGCTAACATTTGCTTCGTGGGCAAACATGTTTAATACAAAGAGTTTGGTTACATTTGCTATGCAAAGCAATCTGGTTCAATTATGAAAATTTGATCACCCATGATAACCCAAGCAATCATTGTTCAAATTAGATACTTCACTCACATTTGCAAAGCTGCGTAAACGTTCTGAAAATAACAGGTTTACATGCTTTTACATCTAAAGCAAAAGCTGTGCAAAACAGCAGATTTGCGCTATCATTTGCGTAATGTGCAAATATAGTTCAAAGAAACATATTTGCCTACACATTTGAACCATCTGCAAATGACCCTCAAATCCATGGCTGCCCATTATCTTTGCACCAAGATGTAAATGTTGTGCAAATGTGGCATTTACCGTCATTGCTACGGATAGCAAATCTAGTGCAATATCAGTCTTTGCTCTTGCGCAAAATTGTGCAAATGTGGTATTTGCTACACATTTGCTGTAATTTGGCTACCCTAGTAAATCCATTTTTTCGTCCAGTGACGGGAGCCAGGCCAGACCGTGGAAAACCGAGGTCAACGCCCAGCCTAAAAGCCAGGGTCACCCGGGCCTTGGCCTGGCTGGCCATTTGATGAAAAGCCTGGGGACGACGGGGCTAGCAGGCCATCTCCGCTTGGCTAGCAGGCCGGGGTGGCCCTGAGAATTTCCCGGCCATTGAGCCAGGCTAGCCAAGCGATACAAAAGACAAGGAAGCCAGGATTAGCAGGCCAGCCAGGCCTGGTGAGAACTGGGCCAAAGCCTGGCCTGAAAGCCGGGGTGACCCTGGCCATTCCTGGCCACTAAGCCAGGCTTTAGCCAGAACATCAGCCAAAGCTTGGCACTAGGAACGTGGCTAAAAGCCTGACTAGCTTGGCTATCTTCAAAATAAAATTAATATATCTGTGGATCATACACTTATAATTACATGCTAAGGCATATAGAAGTAAAACATGAAAAAAGCTGCAATTGTATGTCATGAAATAAGTTACGACAAAACCTTTTTATATCTTAAAAAACTGATTATTTTTATTATCTCCTAATATAAAAATTACATAAAGTTACATTTTATGGAAGATAATTATCAATAGTTCGGATTCGACAACATTGGCTTGAGGGATCATGAGAGATTGCAGCGCCCATGCAAACTTGATAGTTGCGTATTTTAACTGCTTATATTGGAATTTTTCATCCATTCATGGCTAGTTAGAACCTACTTCGTAAACGCAACCGTTTTCGGTTTTCCTATTTGTACAAAGTAAGTAATATTCTCAACACGGTGTCATTGCTTTATTGTCTCATAATAGTCACTTCTGTTATTGATTTGCTACAGATTTTCCTTGGACGTCGGTTTTTTTGGTTTTTTTGTTTTTAGTGACAACATTTTGCTGACTTATCATATTAAAGTTTATAACTGTTAGAGAGACTAGGACAACTAAACACATACATTTATTGTTGCTCCCTAAAAGGGCTTTTCAGCACCAATATTACAAGACACACAAGTAAAAAAGAATGATAATCATCAACCTAAATAAATATAATGAACGTATAAAAATTAGTATATTACATGATTTGCTTAAATGTTCTCTAAAAATGCATTGTTTAAAATTGTCTAAGCTACTTAACGTCCTCAGGTGCTTGCTTAATCCACTCCAGATTTTAACCCCCCTATAGGCAAAACAACGCTGACCAGTTCCCAAACGACAACGGGGAATATTAAGGTTGTTTACTGAACTAGCACAGAAATAATATCCTCTTGGGAGAGAGGAGCTCATTTGGCCTCAAATTAAAGGTTCTGTAGCATTATTTAAAGATTTTAGGCTTACATTTGTATATCGGCCAGGAAAGCCAGACTCATGTGATTATGGCTCTGAATTTTAAATTCATTGACAAATTCACTAGCAAGGCCATGAAAAACGGCCTTTTGAGTCCTTGGCTCTGCCAATAAAACGCAAACAGCCATGAAAGCCAGTCGTTTGTGACCAAGGTTGCTGCTTTGGCCAGGCTTTCCAGGCTTTTGAATAAGCTCCTGACACAAGGGATAAGGCTAAATGAAGGGGCCATAAACACACGATAAAAGCACGATATATGCACCATCAATGGAATTCAGACTCGATGCACGTATATCGGCTTTTTATGCACGGTTATCGCGCAAGCACGACGCATGATAGCAAAATTTGATTTATTTTGTTACGGCTGTGGTCTCCAACACCCTGCACTTTGCCTTAAGTATCACACGTAGGTGAACATGATTATCACCTTTTTTAGAATTTGCCAGATTATCTACCTTTTTCAGGAGAAAGTATTTTAAGTACAGCCTTTACTATTTCTTCATTTGCACTTATCTTGCTTCTAAGCCAAATTAAACTTCTCAATATTCCTACCTCCCTCTCTCTTCTTTTGCTAACCAAGCGTCCCTCGACGAAATAGCTTCAGTCATTGAAATAATTTTTGTGAATTATGTCAGAAATGTCTATGAAAAGGTCACAAATTTTAACATACACAATTGTTATATAAACATGAGGTACTTACAGTCTTTCGTAGATTTGCTTATCCAGTCAATAAACGGATACACTCTTGTGAAGTATGCATATTTATTCTTTTGTGCGCATCCTTCGCCCCAGCTGACAATGCCAACAGCCACCCAATGCAAATTTCGTCCTCTCCTTATTTCACGAAGAAACGCTCCTCCACTGTCTCCTTGACAAATATCGATTTCTCCTTTTCCGTCTCCTGCACAAAACGTGAGCGCCGTGTTGTAGCATACTATTGTTTTATTAGAGCAGAACTGGTTGTTTTGAATTGTGAGAGTAGCATGACGAAGAAGTTTGGAAAAATCACGAGGGGCAGGTGGTTCTGCCAATCCTAACGGGCGAGTAACTCCCCACCCGGCCACGATACCACTGGCTTGAACAGTTGCAAGATCTCCTTCTTCTTTTTCAGGAAGGCAGACAGTTCGTACAAAAGTGTTGAGTCTAACAGCCTGGGTAAGTTTTACCAAGGCTATATCGAAGTCGAAAGCACTGATTCTGTGTTTCGGATGAACCAATATCTTCTCCGGGACTATTTCCTGTTGCGATCTTTCGTTTTTATTGAGATTGTGGTCCCCTGCCTTAACAAGGTACCTATAAGATGTTTAAAATTGGTATGAAAACTAAGGACAAGAAGCTAATGATCATTTTACTTTACTTTCTAACAGAATCCATCTTCCCCAACACCTTTTGTTACAGATCAAACAGGTTAAGCAGCATAAAAATTAACACGCGTGTGCAATATTGAAGAATGTAAACGCTAATCCCTTGCCTATGGCAAGACAGAGAATAATATACAGATGTAGTAAAGCTTAAAAGCGGATATCATAATAATGACAATAATAAGAATAATAATGGTCATGATGATGATGATGATGATGATGATGATGAAATAGCTCCTCGTGCGAATTAACAAATCGATGACAAATTTCCGCGGTCTATACTCTTATTGACCATAGAAATGACGTCAAAATGTTCAAAACGTAAGTGCAATCACGAGCCGCAGGCGATTGGTTTCACTTAGTGCGAGATGAAAATGTTTGTGTAAAACCTGCGAGACAGCAATGTTCCTCCCTCCGAAATAGTCCAAATTAACAGTCACAAAAACTCCAATCCATCAACAATAATAGTTTACTGGAGGAAAAGTAGACTTAGACAATTTCAACACCTCGCAGCCACGAACACAAACACTGCCAGCGATACAGCAATAACATGTTGGCAAGAGTGAGAGTCAGTGTAGGAAAATTCATATGTTTAAGGTGTTTCGATATAGTTTTTCAGAGGTCATACCGATATTTTTCGATCGCTGTAAAAATGATCTTATCCTTGTCTGATTGCTATAAAATTTTCACCAGTGATTGACTATAGATTGAAATTTGTCAAAGTGTAAGTTTTAGTGAAATCGATATTACTATGCCAACAATAAACAAAAAACTTTGAAATTGATAAACCCCAAATTTTGCGCGATCTAGATCAGCTACTGAAAATCCAACACTAGTAACTTAAGTTCGGTGTTTAGCAAATAACCTCCGTAAGAAGTAAAAACTTCGATATCTTTGAATTCGACTAAAACGAAAATATATTTCAAATCTTAAAAAATCAATAGCCGTGATAGATTATCTATAAAAACGTTATGAATGACTCAAATTATTCTTGAGTAGCGTCAGAATGCTGCTTAATATCATATTTTGTTGCTAGGAAATTTTGGTGTATTTTCGCTCTTGCGATCTTAAAAACTAACCCGTTTTCTAGTCACCTGTCTAAGTTCAACTTCATTCTAAATTTGGACTTTTAGCGCTTTTTTGGATATCTCTGAAACGACTCTTAGACAGCACTTAGACACTTAGATCACACAAAATTCGACTTTTATCAATTTCAAAGTTTTTTGTTTATTGTTGTCATGGTAATATCGAATTTACTTAAAACTACATTTTCACAAATTTCAATCCATATCCAATTACTGGTGAAAATTTTATAGCGATCGGACAAGGCAAAAACTACTTTTAAGGCGATTGAAAAGTATCGGTATAGCCCCTGAAAAACTGTATCAAAACAGCTGAAGTGTCTTTGAAAAATTAAAGTTTGTGTTTCAACTTCCGCGCCCAGCCACACTATAATAACTCAAAGTCCACAACCGAAAAGATTTCAGAGACTTTGAGTGTTGGTATGAGCAACAATCAATGAAGAATGTTAGTGTAAAAACTAAGGATAATTAAAGGGACTGGTTCACGATAATGCGCATGTGTGACAGTAGCTGATTGTTTTTAAACCAATCGGAAGCGAGTTAGATGCACGCAAGTAAATTTACAAAATTCAAATTCATTGTTCGCGAAGCGAGAGTATTTCCGGGCTTTTGGTTTTATTTTATATATCCCCATAATTCAAGTTTATTCTTTACTACTCCTCAGATATATGTAGCAGCCGACAAGAATACGATTTACAGCACTGTCCTGCTTTGAAACAAACATTTACCAACGTGTAGTTTTACGAGGTGCCACCCACGCTAACAAAGGATTCACCGATCGGCAAACAAAATTTGTAAACAAACATTTTATTACATTTTATTAAGTTGACAGGAGCAATGCATTCCATCGGTTTAGTACAAGCAACAGGATATTACAGTTGAACTTCCATTAAGCGGGCACCCTTTTTGGCAACCAACCAAAATTCCAAGATAACTGTCGAAAAGAGTGGAGGGAAGCGGACACCTCCATTATAAGCAGTCGCGGCCACCTTTTAGCCTTCCCAACAACAGTTTTTCCATTGTTTTCACTTCTTTTAAGCGGCCATGAAGCCCTTGGTACAATTAGTTTGACTTTATTATAAGAATATGATGAAGGAAAATAAAACTAAGATAGAAGGTGATGACCGATTGTAGACCAGTAATGCTATCCCGTCGCGTGTTTGTTTCAAACTAGTGATGTTTCTACTAAAGATTATCCTATATTAATTCATGACCAAACTCCATTAAACGGCCACTCGCGGCCGCTTAATGGAGGTTTGACTCAACTGTATTTAAAATTTGTTTTCCGGATCATGAAAAAACTGGCAAAACATAGAAAGCAAACACTTAGCCTCCCACGCAGACGTTCTTAGGGGTTCGTTACGCGTTCCTGCCACACGAACGTCTGCTGAACTGAAAGATAAATACCTTTCCCATTGTTCGCAAATATCGGCTGGGAATCATATGCAGATTATCGGAGATCCAATCGGCGCTGTTGAAGTCAAAGTGTTGACAAGCCAAACGCATACGTACAAGCTCTGTAGAGTGCGATACGTGACCAAAGATTTTTGCTCCTGACGAGAATATAGGAGATAAGCGTTGGCTTTTTGCATATTTCTCTCTGTAAAGGCTGGATTAGACGTCATTTGCTCATAAAGTTGTTCTTTGGGTGATGCAACGGCGGGGTTACCTTGTAACACTGAACAAAAGGCAGAAATTTTTATTTCACACGTTATTGTTTTGTAGTAAAGCCCACTTCCTTTCAGCAAATTTCACCTCCGAGGTAATTTCTTTCAACGAGATTCTGAGGGTAGCCACTAGTACGAACGCTTGTGAGTTAACTGAGTAGTTTGTTCTAAAACTGTAAGGTCTTCACCTTTCATGAGACCTTTCTGATCTTTTCTGGAGCTATAAAGTCAAGCGCGAAAGTTCTCAAGGTCCAAAGTGCACTTCCCAGATCTGGATGTCTGTTGTGATTGGTCTACGTTTCTTTCAGCTCAAGTCAGCAGACGTTCTTGGGGCAGGAATGCGTAACGAACCCCTAAGAACGTCTGCGTGGGAAGCTAGCAAACACTCGGATTACTATTTTAATGTATTATTATCTTACCAGCTTGCATTGTTTTGTAACTTCGCGGTTTCTGGGTTATAAAAGCAGTGTGCGGCTGTCAATACCCACCAACGAGAAATGAGAACACCACCACATATGAAGACAGGAGCTAAATAGAAAAAAAAAATAATTACGTTGATTGGGTCCTAAGAAAGGCACATTCGGGAAGATATATGGGCTAACTGTTTACAAACAAACGTTTTGCATTTTAAATGTGTTCTACCCATCCCAGAAAATTTGGTAATCACGTGACCGTACACCGACCGACCACCTATCGTCCGTCGGCACCACAGGAAAACCAATGTTAATAATAAACATTGAAAACAAGTTCTATTCCTGATAAACCAATGAGACTGTTAAGCGAATATGATAATCAAACAGCTGAAGAATTTGAAAGGGAACATGTTTGGACGATTTTTTTAATCATGATATTTATTCTTTAGAATTGTTAACAACGGGCGTACCAAAGGGGACGGTCGTGGTCTTTGTCAGAGAGTCTTCTCCTACAAGATAGCTGCTTAAGTTCAACATTGGAAGAGGTGTTTCCACGTTTTGTAGCCGTAAATGGCTATGGTCTCGAGTTATGATGACGTAAGCTGCATGAATTCAAGCCTTCAAAAATAATAAAATAAAATAATAATATATGGCTTTTCGCACTTTTCAGTGCAACACATTTATGGAATAAAAGCATGATTCTGGAAAGCAAGAATTCTTGAATAAAGAATGTCTATTTTAAGTCTTGTGTCTTTGTGATTTATAGAAAATGAATAAATATTCATTTATTCATTTTCTTTCCGTTTCATCAAATTTTCAATGTACAAGATGGGTGCAAGAGACCGAAAAAGTTTTCAGTCATGCTGCAAGTCCCTCCTTAACCTTTATTCTTATTTATTATAGCGGGGCTCCCGCGCGCGCGAAGCGCGCGTGGGACAGAGCCCCATACTCATGGAATATGGTCAACCTCTTTTCGTTTGGTTGTCACGTGATTGACCGAGCGTACGTACGTACGCGTCTACAGATTGTACGGGTGGGGTAGGGGAGACTATCAAAAGGAAGGGAGGGGTGTCTCAGGCGTGTCTTGGCAAGTCCACATCTTTAATATAGGATTTTAGGACATTCACAATATGGTCAATTGACAGCTGTCAAAACAGGATAGCCACTGACCAGTATCCCATGACCATATCGCGGGCTCATGTGTCAACTCATCGAGGTGACGTGATTTATTTGGAAGCTGTTCGCTGACCAGTTAATTGTTTTACTAGATCGCGAACAATGTTCAATCTCATACTTTTACTAGTTAAACTGATAATGCACACATATTGGACATCAATTTGATCAATTGACAGCTGTCAAAACAGGTTACCCGCTGACCAGTATCACTTGACCGTATCGCGGGCTCAGGTGTCGACCCATCGAGGTCAAGTATTTTTTTGAAGTTATCCGCCGACAAGTTACTAGTTTTCAAGTGATCGCAGGCTCAAGTTCAAGTTTTTTCTAAATTCATATGAAATATGTTGTGTTTATGTGCTACACAATTAAAATTTTGATTGCAAACTGACCTCGGACGCGAAAATTCAGCCAGCTGTTACAGGTAGGGAAGACAGTTGCTTTTGACTTTTCTCACCATGGTAACGCGTTGGTCACGCTCTACGTCCAATTTTTATGCTCTGATTGGTCAAAATTCGACAGGTGAGTTCATGCGGAAAATTTATGCAGCATCTTGAATCTTGTTTACTTTGACAGCTGAAGCTGACAGAGTTTTGTGT